CAAAAAAATACAAAACATTCACACTTACATTTTCAACTATTGTTAATTTTGACAAGAATTTGTCATTAATCTCACACTGAATACCCAGAGAAAACCCACACAAGCATGGGAAGAACACCCAAACTCCACCTATTTATAGTTTACTCTTTCTAATGGCGAAGTTTAATTAAGTGGAGGGAAGCTTCGTGATAGACAGGAGAGATAAGCGTGGACTTCAGGAAACATCCTTCGCCACAGCGATCCCTCAAACTGACTAACTGCCCTGCGGAAACCACTGAGAGGCTCGAGACCTTCAATGACAGTCTCTCGGGACCTGAAGTTGGAGACCAACATCAACTCCATCCTGAAAAAGACCCAGGAGAGGATGTACTTCCTGCGGCTGCTCGACAAGCACGGGCTGCCTCAAGCGCAAAGCTGACTTTGAGCAAAAGAGAATATCCAATCCCCACAGCTACTATCGCTAACACCGGGCACAAAAGGAGGAGGAAAAAACGGAGGCGTACGTTTCTAAGCGGGACACAAATAGAGCCACGGAAAACCACTGAGAGAAGAAATTAGGTTCCACTCATGTTTTAATCAGTAAACATGAACAGCTTTGTTTGAAAAAGCATCATGAACCCCCACACAAAACAAAATAAAAATAAAAAATAGTCGCGCTACATGTATCAAAGTTGCTCGGATGGAGAGGTGTCCTTGAGCAGCAGTTGGTTGGAAATTGAGACGCCAACACATCATCATTTCGATGTAGGTGTTAGAACCAAGCGATGTTTCCAGAACTCGTCAATTATTTTATCAGTTAGCGGTGCATTACAGGGACTGAAAGGTAGCAGGCCTCCAGCAGACTTACTTCGTAAGATTCCAGCAATTGAGGTTTGTTTCTACAGAGATGTTATGTGTCAAAAGAACTTGCTTTGAAAGTTGACGCCGCGCGGCACACAGAGGTGGGACTTTTTTTTTTCTTACAATTGTAATTTGAGAGCTTTTCAGACATGAAATGCATTTTCGTGTCGGAATAAAAAAATATATATATAACTGAACACTTCAGACTTGAAAATAACACTTCAGGCAGACATTACAAGGTTATGTCTAACCTCAGAGGGAAACTATTTCATCAGGGCTGTAATACTGCTCCACTGCAAAACCTTCGCAAAAAGGATGTTGTGTAAATGGTTGTTTCCACCACATTTGTGAAAATGAGGACCTTTGCCTTGCCAAAACATAATAATAATAATAATAATAATACCTTTGATTTCTACTGTACAACACTTTTTGGACACTCAAAGACACTTTTCAAAAGGAGGACAAACAAAGACAACAAAACAGACAACATTACAGTCAACAGAGTTATAAATATATATATATA